GACTGGAATCGAACCTGGGACCCTTCAGTCCGCAGGCTGACGCTCTATCCACTGAGCCAAACCAGTTAGGGTAGAATCCATGCTTTTAACCTAGAACAGTGCCTGACATAGTAGTCACTGATATTTGTTGAATGCATTCTCTTGCTTTGTAAATTTTTACTACAATGGAAAGAACATTTCCCCCCACCTCAAAATGGAAGTATCCACTACACAGACACTAGGTTTGCTCAAAGTAATTTTAATCATCCCCGACATTTGCCTGCAAACCTATTAGGACACTAGTATAGCACTACAAAACCAAGATTCAGCAATTGTTATAAAATATGTTTAAAATACCTTCTAGTTCACCAATTTTTTTAGCAAATACTTTCAGTTGTTTTTTCAGTTTCCGGACAGTCTTATCTTGTTTTTCAAGCTGTTCCATCAAATCCTAAAGGTCAAAATGAGAAATACAACAGAATGATCAAAATAGGTCTTCTAAAACGCACAGAAGGAAAGCAGACACTAAATCATAGAAACAGCTCTGTTAGTTTCACATAAAAGCTCTAGAAAAGCTCATCGGTGGAGCCACCACCTGGCTGAAACTGGCAGGCATGGGAAATGCAGCTATAATAAAAGCGGAATGTTAAAATACACGATGCAGTACAATCCTTTACAGCGTGACGGACAGCAGATTCACTGGGGAGTCTTTTCCAGTAGACTCCACGTGGGCAAAACAATCAAATGCTCGTAAAATGTACCACTACTCAAGTGCAATGTTTTCTTTTAAAGGGGGAAGAGGCAAAGTACATTTTGATGAATGTACAAAATGTTTTGTGGAGAGTTTTAAGGACAGTTGAACTTGGGTAGGGGCTTTTGATTTTTGACTTCCATCACACTGCAAGCCTAGAGTCAGTCACAAACCAAACACGACAATGGACGCAGGACACTGGTAGAGGTGACACCACTGGCTGACAGACAGCTGTAGGAGAGAAACAGGTTTCATCAGAGGTTTTGCAGAGACTTCCTGGGGAGGAGCAGGCAGCCCCTTGGTTGCAGAGAGCTAGAAGTAGTGCAGAAAGCAACACAAAAGCACTCGTGAGTTTACATACAATCATCCGTTTGTAAAGTGAAATCCGATATGATTGATACTTCTTAGGGTCATCTGCATATAATTCCTCAAAATACTGAAAAAACAGGCATAATGGATATTTGTTGTTCTCTGTGTTGTTGAGGGGAATGCTACCTCTCAGCAAAATCAATTTTTAAAATATTTTAAGATAAATAATGAAACTGTATCTACGGAAAGAGCTCTGATCTGTCACCTGCCATTGCCCTCTGATCTTTCTGGCACAGATAATTCCAGCTTTGCATGCATACACATATGCTGTCACATGCTCAGGGGAAGCAGGCCACAGCCAGGGTGCCATCGGGTAGCAGGGGTACAAAGTGGTGGTCGAGCCCCTGGGGAAGGCTGCTGTAATTTCACTCCTTGGACCTGCTCACAAGTTGCTGCACTTTTTGTTGCCAGCAGTTGTGGCAAGAGTGGGGCAGGCAAATAGAATTAATGGCAATATGGGCGCTGTTGTTTGAAGGCGGGAAAGGCCGGCGAGAAGCTGTGTGCCTTCCTTCCCTGAAAGGCGGCATGGGAGGCCTGGGAAGCACGTTCACTAGCAGAGGAGGAAAACCTTCTGTTTGTGTCGGGGCAGGGGGGCGGGCGGGTTACTTGGGGCAGCAGTTCAAAGGCCTAAGTCTAGGTTCCCAGCTGTTTTAATATGCTGCTCACGTGTTTCCTAAAGAAATGCACAATTAACATTGAGAAACTACAATGATTTTGAAAAAGTGCATCGCTCCCTGTACTTAGGTTTGAATCCAGTCTCCTGAATTACCAGTGAGGCAGGAGAAGCGGCTGAGCTGCAAAGGATTTTCCTAAACCTCAGACAAAATCATTAACTAGACTACCAGCTTAGAATTTGGGGGCTTATTTTGTATTAGTTATGCAAAATTATCAAGAAAATGAATACTACAGACAAGGTCACAAGGGAAATGCTTAATCAGCTTGATGGAAACACTGGGAATCTGCACCCAGAAGCATCTTTACTTCACGGTTTCACCTCGTATTTGAAGACAATCATTTATAAGCAGAGAATTTATACACTGATCAATTGTTATTATATTATTTAGAATATTTATCAATTCTTAGGCATTTAAGCATTGTTAGTTAAACTTAAGCAACAATATACTTGAAAGTAATAAAAAGACATTTCAGTCCATGATCTGGAAGATTTCCCCCCAGAAATCAGTGATGTTTCAGTCACCTTGGAAAGAGCCCAAACACTGCCCTCAGCCTTCCCCCCATTCCTACAATGGAGCCTCCCACAGGTGTCCCCTGTCCTCGAGGGGACAGATGGGCTCTGAAAAGAACACCTGTGTGTTTTGCTTCTGATCAATATAAAAGACAGTTGGATAAATGACACTAGAAAACTATTTGTAACATAAAATGATCACTAGTGGAGTAATGGAGGGATAATTCCGATTGTTAAATCTTCAGAGAAAATCCAAACTATTTATTATAGAACATTAAAACCCTGAATTAAAGAAAAGCAGACAAAACACTACCAGCCTTAAACAGCTGTTCTCAAAACCAGGCTGACACTACAATCTAAATTTTATATAGAAACATGAAATCATTACTTTTCAATGGCCTTTCATTTAATAAATATATTATCAAATTTAAGTAGATTTTTAAAAATCTATAAATCTGTAATAAAAGTTATTTTGTGACTGAGGAAGAAATATTCTAGAAAATACTTTCTATGAAATAAAGAGAAAAAGAAAAGAAAAAAAACTTCTGCCACTGTTCAGAATCTGGGAAGGGGGAAAAAGACCTCATTTCATTGCCCACGTTCTGTTTAAAAGAATAAAAAATGTATAAACTTGCATACTGCTCTCTCTCCTCTATGACCTGGGAGCTCCATCCAATGTCAACCAAAAGTCCCCCTTTGGTTCTGCCAACTGCCTTGCAGACCATAGCTCTAACCCCCACTTGTCTGCTACAGATGGAGGCGGGGGTGGCCTCGGTGGCTGTTTGGGAACCACAGCTGAACAAACATATAACCAACAACCACATAACCAAGGGCAGAGAATGGCAGAGATTCTGCAGCGAAGTGGAAAAGAGGCCACGTGAGTTCTCGAGGATCTCAAGAGCCCAGCATGCAGCTGGTTGATACCTTCCAGACCCTCCCAGTGGATCTGAGAGAGCTCCTGTGAGAGACACAATCTGTGCACATGCCTTTTCCATTTCTGGAACAGAGTCCTGTTTTCCTCACTCCATCTCCGCTGAGTGAGGGTGACGGTGTGGGGCACCCTGCGGAGCCAGGCCCTTACCAAGTTCTCGTTGGTCAGGCGGGTGATCTCGTGCTGCAGGCTGGCCTCGATGCGGGCCTCGGGGGGCAGCTGCAGGTTCTGGGCCAGCAGCTGCTGCTGCCGGTTGTTCTCTTCCTTCAGGTTCTGGATCTCCCCACGGAGGGCTTCGGCCTCGTTCTCATGGCTCCTCTTCTGCGACTGGAGCTGGGATTCCAGGAGCCTGTGGAGAAGCCACACGGGTAGGAAAGGGTGATGACGCCAGCGGCCCTGCCTGATGGGGCGAGGCTTTGTGCTCACTAGCAAGGGCAGGAAAAGCGGGGGCTCCAGTGTCTGCGCAACTTCTGACTTGATTAAAGTCAGGAAACTCACGACCAGAACTGGACACGGTGCTCTCACGTTTGTGTCTTTCTGAACTGTGGGCCCTGCTACGAATGTAAAGTATTACAGGCCCTGAGAAGCAGGAGAGTTTAGCTGTTTTGAGAGTTCACAGGAATGATGAATAAAATCATCCATTAAAAGACAGCTTCAATCTGGCTGACTACAAACAAGCATTCAAGTTAGCAAAGACCATACCTTTGCCACAAAGTAACTGCATTATGGATCCAAGATTACAAACAACTGATCTAATTAAGTATGACTTCAAGATTGTCAGCATTACTAATTTCAGGCAGAGGGTGTTAACCAGGGTCCCCTTTTACCTTCTACTCTTATCTGTGAAGAAAGGAACAGCTGAATGCTTCTCTGAAATATATACAGATTTACCAAATCCAGACAGGTAGTTCTGAAATTTCATATACAAATACTTTAAATCTGTCATCGTCTTTCTCCCCATAAACTTTCCTATCAGTAAAAGAATCCTAACAAGACATGGTTTTAGAAATTATTAACAGGACCAACAAAGTGGCTGCTGCTTCTCTGAGCAAACACCCAACTCAGCTATGCCCAGGCATCAGCAGTGAGCACAGCAGAGAGAAATAGCATCCCCCCTTTACCATGCACCCCACATTCACCCCCTTTCTAAACACAAAACAAAGTTACAGTTAGTAATGAATTAACACGAAGAAAGAAAGGATGTTCTTTTATTCTAATCCCCGTGGTTACCAACTGCTGGGCAGGATTTATTGACGACATTGCAAGCAAACTGTTAACAGCAGACTAAAAATATTTTAGTGAGTATAAAATTTCAAGAGGATTTGAGCCAATAGCACCACAAAGTTAATGACAATGGTTTATGGTTAGAACAAACAAAGCAGAATAAGCAGGAGCCCCTTGAACAAACAGCATATTAGGTATTTTTCCAGCTTAATCACTAAAATTGTATTTTTATGAGATTTTTAGGACACAAACATCACTAGAGCAGAGAGTATCTGTGTTGGAAAGGTGCTGCTGATTCCATTTATTTGCTTCCCCTAAACATGTTTAACATGTTGAGTCTGGGTAATTATTCTGAACTGTAGCAATGCAGGAAACCCTCCTGATTTGCTGTTTCACAAATTGGAACTTCACAATAACCACACAGAATGCCAAGTCAGGCACTTAATACTGCCGATAAGCAGCATGGCAACAATATGTAGGAATGCAGCCATGCGTCCATTGGCATATATATCCTTTAGATGGATCATTATTCCAAACAAGAAACTACTAAGTAATAGGTATTAATCTCTCCCCACAGTAGTTTGAGCTCTAGTTGAAAGGTTTTGGGTTTTTTTCCAACTCCTAGTGAAATATTCACAAATTTTAGTGTCTGAAGGGCAATCTAAATAGCATCTTTCACTTACGGGCAGCAACTCTTATTCATCATCTATTTCAGCTTTAACAGCATCCCTTACTAAGGAACGTTTTTAGGAAGGTATTTGGTTGAATCCTCTAAGTTGTACTAAAATTTACTTAGGAAGATAATTAATATACAAGAAATACGAAATTTAAAGCCAGGAGGCTATTGTTAGTAAGAAAAACAACAAATGAGTAACATTGCATTTTGAGGAGACAAATATAACCTGTTGGCTTGTTTTAACCCTTCATAAACCAGCCACAGCTCTCCATCCTCATTCAACTCATGGTAATCCATAGCAGACGACCTTCCATGCAAAAGGAACAATGCAAAACACAAAGGATACAGGGTGGGAATGAGATGATGATGGTCAACAGCACCACATGATATTTCATATTGTTTTTGTTAATTACAGACAACTTAAGACATTATCACAAAAAATTATTTCTGGTTAATTTTCTTAAAAATGTGTAACATCTAATTGGGTAGAAAGTAAAATAAACGAATCAAGGATCTACAGCGAGTTTTCCTGTAAAATAAGAAATGATTCAAAAGGTGCGAAAGAGGTTCTTTCTTTTACATTTTGTTGAGCTAGCAGAATAATCTTATATGTCACTTATTATATTCAAGACTAACCACGACAGTCACACACATATAATATGAAAACTGCAGTTATTGTCTTCGTGTGGCAATCTTCATAATCCATTTCAAAATGAAATTTTAAGTTTTATGGGTAGGATCTTGTTTTGACTTAAAATAAAATCTGGTTTCTTAGTTTTAAAAAACTCTCATAGGAGTAACTTATAACTAAGAATATGTTCAAAGTTCTCAGCTTTTATACACAACTTTTAAAAGACTTTTTTCTTTGTCTAAAAATTAATTTTAAGGCCTGGGGACACTGTTTTTATATTAGTGATGTGACACATTTTATTAAAAGTATGCATACTAAGTAATAGGTATTAATAAATAATAAATAACAAATAATAATGGCATGCTTGATTACAGGATATCTTCTATCTAGGGTATTAAAATAATATACGTGAGTGTTTGCTAAGTGTCAGGTATCATCTATAATTCCCACATATATTATTTCACTTAGCTCTCCCAGGCACCCAATACACATCTTTTGCCACATTGCAGAGAAAGACATGAGGCTTGGAAGTAAGATGTCTGTGGAGGCTAAGCAGCTGGAAAGCAGTGGCCTCAGGGCTATCGGGCGTGAGCCCAGGTTCTCAGTCCTTCAAGACTTCTTTGTTGATACGGTATTTACATAAAACAAATTCCAAAGCATGTTCTATTTTCCACCTACCATCTTTCCCTGAAGAGTTGATCTATTCGCATGGTCTCAATTATAAATAGTACATGCTGATGACATCAACATTTATATTTCAGCCCACATATCTCTCCTGCGTTAGAGCTATATTTTCAAATGCCTAATGGATTTCTCTCCTTGGATGTCTTCCTAGCTCTTTAAATTCAATATCTGTAAATCTACCAATCATCTCTATCCCATACTTCCCTTCACCCCAGACCAGGATCACAAATGGCATCACCACATCCAACCAAGTATCCACAGCAGAGACTTCAGAGTCATCCATCATGACCCCTATTCCTCACTGACACATCCAATAAAACACAAGGCTTTACTGACCTCATCTTCTTATGCATCTTCAAAGTGTTCCATTTCTCTCAATCCCAAATGCCATCTATTAAGTCAAAGTCACCATTACCTAGCCTCTTAACTGGTCTTTATGCTTTCAATCTTGTTCCACTACAATCTAGTCTCTAACATAAATGCCAGGGTTAGCTTCCTAAAATTCAAATCTCATTATAGTTTCCTACTTAAAAATCTTTCAATAGTTCCTACTATCATTGGAGTGAGGTCTAAATTTTCTAAGCTGTCTCCCCAACAGCCCATAAATCCCATGAAAGTAAGGAATGCATTTACTTTGCTGACTGCTAATATTCCCAGTGTGTGGCACAGGGCCTGGCATTAAACAGGCATGCAATACATCTTTGGTAACTGAATAGCTGAGTGGATGAAATAACAGCGTAATCTAGCTATTTTTATACTTACACAATCTAAGATAAAAGATATGTGCTATTTATATTTTACATTCATAAATTAAAATTCATGTTTAACCAAATACTCTTATCCACATTTTCCACCCTTGCCCATAAAAGAAGATATTCTTTAGTTAGTGAAGTATTTCTATATGCCAATCGTGGTGCTATGCACCAGGAGGCCCAGACTGCACGCTGATATTAGAATCTCCAGAACTGCCTTTCTCTGTGATCACCACTGGCCATATTCTTTAAAGCATGTAGTCTCTCCAGGTCCGAGTTCAATAGCACTGAACTCCCTGGGAAGCGGGTGAGAAGAGGCTGAGGCAATTCCAGAGACGAGCCTTTATTTTGTTACATAAACTCAGCTACAGAAAAAGCCTCAGGAAAGTTCAGTCATTTAGTGATGGTGCAAATTCTGCATTCTCAGCCAGCTCGCTTGAAGTTCTTAAGTGTAGAGTGACAGAGCTAAGTGCCATCTGCAATTTCACTCACATTTACAGTAAATGGAATAAAACCAGAGTTAGGATTTTCTTAGAACAACTTAGGGAACATGACAAAAATGTGGTCTCAAATGCAGGGTTCTGCCCTAGAAATTATGGAACCCTTACAGAATTATATGGCTACCACTAATAAGATTTCAGATACTCCATCATTTCCCTTCACATTAAATTTAGATTACTGGAAGCTGCAGTTGCCCCTAACAACACTCACAAATAACCAGCCTGAATGAGAAATGAAAAGGAACTACCCAAGACAATCAACAGTGAGCAACTGGTTTTCTCCTCAAGGCTAAGACCTTAAAGATACAGAAATATATATCCCCGTGAAGTTAAGAACATTTCCCCTGACACCTTTCATCAATAATGCTACCTTGTTATAAATGAGATTTTATTGAATATATTGAAAACCTTGGATTCCCTTTGAAGGTTAGTTGATGTCTACTAAAGCAATGTATAAATATGTTGACTTTTTGTACAAGAGGCTAAAAACCAAAGATCAATATGATTAAACCAAAATGGAATAAAAACAGTATCAACTTACCTGTTTGTTTCTTTCAAACCAATGTATGCTTGCGCTATTTCGCCTTTATCTTTCATTTTTTGTACATCTTCCAAAAGTACTGTGGCATCTGTCATTGTATTCTGAAGGGGAAATGACATAGTTCCGCATGAAGAACCAAATCACAAGCTTTGGCTCACATATGACATATTTATGTGTTTATGTGCCCACCACAACTCTACCCTCCAGACTCCAGAGGGCAGGGGGGCACAGGCAGTCAAGGAAAAGGGGAGCCATCAGCTCTCCTCTTGAGAATCCTTAACATGCTGCTATGAACGTGGTGAGATTCCGAATACCACAGCCCTGTAAATAAAATAACTGATGGGCTATGATATTTTACATTACGTGTGTGTACATATGTGTTTGTGTGTGTTGGGGGTGAATATATACTGTATATTCCATTATACAGTTCTAAGGCGTTCTTGACCAGTTATTGTTCTAATTCTGTATATACTATATGCTTTATACATATAAAATAGGTTTCATATGTTTTAAATATATATATAGTATAAATATATATATTTCAAAACATATACACAGCATTAGAATAAAAACCAGGCAAGAAGACTGAGTATTTAGTGAAATGGACAAAACTGTTCTTCCTACTACTTTTTGATCAGTTATAATAAAACATTTGTTATAGTAACACTTATAATACCAGTTATAATAACACACTAAAAGTTGAACATAAAGCTCATTCTTCCATGAAAAACTCAGTACAAAGAGGTAGCATTCAGATGTATGCTTTACAAAATTAAAAGCTTTTCCTCATATCTTTAGATATATATAAATGGAAAGAAGTTAGCTCCTTATAAATATCTACCATCTGCTGTTATTCAATTCTTTTCCTCTGTTACAATATCACATGGTACATAAGCTTTTGAAATAAATACTGGCAGGTCAGAATTACTAATGATCCTATATAATAAAAGCCCAGCGACCATAACAGCAGAACAACCAGAAAGACCGCTCGACCAGTCACTATGAGGTGCACTGACCACCTCTTGGTCCCTTTCCTTGGCCAGCAGGCTCCGATCCCTGCCAATAGCGAATGGGGAACCAGGGTGGGTGGTGGGGGATGCGGGCAGTGCCAGGCCAAGATCCCCGCCCCACCGGTCACCCCACATACAGAGGGCGACTGGCGCAGGGGATGGGGCTGGTGAACAGGTGGGAACTGCCAACCTCTTGGTCCCTCCCCCCGGTCGTCAGACTCCCATCCTGACCAGGGAATGAGGAAATGGGGAAATGGGGAAATGGGGTGGGTGGTGGGAGGGGGCGGGGCCGGTTGTAGGCAGCTGGGAAAGATGGCCCTGATCAAGGCTAGGCCTAGGGACCGTACCCACACACAATTTCATGCGTTGGGCCTCTAGTTTTATATAAAAAGAACTTTTCTGTTAAACCTTTGTACTTCCTTTTTATTTTTCCTTTATGGTCTAACGATATAGTTTAAGTTGGCTCCTTGAGTGTGGCTCTTCCTAAGCCTTAGGAGTACCCTAATTAAGTTAGTAACGATGTATCTACCTATATAGTTTAAGTTTAAAAAATCTGGCTCTCAAAAGAAATTTCAATCATTGTATTGTTGATATTTGGTTCTGTTGACTAATGAGTTTGCCAACCACTGGTCTAATCTGCCTGAAAACCACTGTAATTTCAAAATTTTGCTTCTACTCAGTTATTCTCTTATCTCTCCTAAACGAAAGCAAAAACGCACAATAAGAACCACTGTTTTATAGTCTCTAAAGAAGAATACACTTTAGAATCCAAGGGGCCATCCTATTTGTCTAAATAGTACATATCTGATCCTTTCGTCCAAGTTTGCTCCAGCCAGATCTCACAATGAAGTGGCACTCATAGAATACACTTCAAATACCAGGATCTTAGATAACTTGAATGCCAACTAGAGGCCTACCAATACTTGCTTTTGAATGTCAGTGTTTATTAGAAGCATCTTTAAAAAAAAAATCCCACTTTTCTCCTAATGCTGATCTTTTGTAAGAGTTTATACACGTATCCTTAGAGAAGACCAAACAATCTTTGGTTCTAAGCTATTAACAAAAGCTTATATTTTATTACATTTTAAACATCTTTTCCAGAAACACCACATACAGCATTTCTTTAGCTATTTTTATAAATATTTTAGCACACATATCATAGAAAATTTCCTTTTTCAAGAAAACTTTCTCTGAAAGGAGAAAATCTTTCTATTCCATAAAGGGCCATACTCAGATTTTTAAGTTTTAAGTAATAACTCTCAAAGGCCCAGGCTCTATAACGCTACATGTACTCTCTGATATCTGAGGACCTATTATAGAATGTGGTTTTGAACTTTTCGTAAATTAGGTAAGTTGGTCTAATTAACTAATGCAGAGGAAAGCTGGGCCTCTTAGTGTGTTGCTGTGCTGAACCAGGCCTCTTAGTGTGTTGCCAATCCTTCCCTCATCTGGCCTATCTTAGCTAAGAAGTGGTGGCTGGGGCATGGGATCAGACTTAGACTGCCAGGGTTAGCAAGTTCCTGACTCACTGCTCAGTGTGTCTCCCCTGAGCCAGTGACCAGAGGCCTGAAAGGGTTGATCCATGTAGGAAAATCCCACCCTTCCCAGGTGTGCTCAGCAACTCAGGATCCTCTTCACCCTCAGACCCATAGCTGGTAGACATGTGAGCCCAGGAAATCCTCCAAGTTAAGGGTTCCCCTCCCTGACCCCGTGGATGGCCTGCAACCACCACAGTGAGGCACAGAGCTGGCTGAGAATTAGACATCAGGGAGGCCTCTCTGTGACCCAGACAGGAGACTACTATTATCCACATTTTCCCACTGACTTCCCAAATATAAAAATAGACTTGGTGGCCAAAAAGCATCAATTGCATACATTAGGGGATATTTGTAAACTAAAATTAGGATTTAATAGTATATACTAAAAATTTTATAATTACCTTGTCATCCTGAAAATCCCAAGTTGGCAAGCACAAAAAACAAATGGAGAAAACAATAAACCCTTACTTCCATAAATAAGTTCTATCATTGAGTCTCCATTGTAACAAATAAGAGCTAACTGTAAAAAACAACCATGAATTGTTTCCCTAAAACTAATTTAACAGATAAATACATATTCATGAAACTGACATGAGGTGGACATTAATATGTATTTATGTGACAGCAAGTCTTAATTCTCAGGAACAAGTGCTTAAAATTCTTTTTGTATTTTTTTACTGTATAGTATTTTTAGTACGTGAAAGAACAACCCTCCTGTTAGAGTACATGGGTAATTCTCTCCCAGTGTCTGTGAGAGTTACAGTGAAACCTCCTAGAATACTTGTGGGGGTGGAGCAGACACACTAGACCTGGCTGGGCTGGATCTTCACCTTGCTCCCTGGGTGTCACCACTGTCCTGCAAAGAAGTTGTGACATATGTGTTTATGACTAGAAGCTGAGTGGAGTGAACAGCCCTGCGGTATTTGAAAGGTCTCAATCAGCATCATGGGCATTTTTCCCAGGAGAGGACAAGCTGCTACCATGTGCAAGCTGGAAACTCAGAGAGCAGAAACCTCGATTAGACAGGGCCAGCCCATTAGAGGCTGACAAGCAGTTGTCACATGGGGTATGTGAGCTGGGTAAGTGAGAACTCTGTGCTCTGTTAGCTAGATTGTTTTCACGCACCTTGGTTCATTTTTCTTTCCTTTCCCATAACTTTAACTGAAGTTTCCTATGAGAATACCGATTTGTCACAAGGGAACCAGAGGAAGGAATCCTGATTGTGGACTCTGCTCCAGCTAGCAGGCAGAGGGGAGTACTAGTTTCTTCAGGGGTCATCAGCCCAGGGAAGGCGAGATGTACATATAGGGCCACGCCCAAGGAGAGACTCCCAATCTCCAAGTTCACATTTCAGACTTAAGGGGTTTGTGATTTGTTTTGAAATAAGGAAGGTCATTTCTTCACATAACTCCATTTGTTACTGGGATTTTCCAGAATTTTGTATTTTCTGGACCAATGTTAATCCTTGGTGAGAGTTGCCATTATCAAATCCAAACCTATGTGCAAGGTTCGGTATCTCAGCCACCTGCACAACTACCATTTCTAAGAGAAGCACTCCCATATCTTTCAAGCACCCAGCTCATAATATATCACAGTCATATTTCATTTGGCATGTCACGCCATTGGGATAGTTGATTGCCTCAAGCCTTGGTAACACTTTGCTGCATGAACACGGGCAGGGACATAGGTCAGGCTTTAAGGTGATTAATTAGATAATTTTTATCTGATGACACATGACAAAAAGGCCCATTTCTGATCAGCACATGGTCTCAAAATACCCGAGGGCAAGAAAGGACTTAGGAGGGCCATCTATATCTTCCAGTATGGTCCTTTCTGCTGCCTCACTAAGCACAGCCCTCCCACTGGGACAGCTCCCCCAGTAAACAGAACTCCCTGAAGTGAGCAGAAATCTCCACGCAACTTATACAACTGATCTCCTTTCTAATTTCTCCATGTTACCTTCCCAGTGAAACAGGCTACCTTCAACAAATAATTTTAAAGTCGTTCGTGCCTTCCCACAACAAGACAATTTATGGATCTGTGTACTTAATAGCACTTTATTTTAGATCAAAATTCACTGTGGCCAAATTACTACAAAAAATAACTTTAAAAGCACTTGGCTCATGAGTGAGAGATGAGACTGAATACCATTTGGGATTTCACATGCTTTTTGCTCACTCCAATTGACATTTGCAATAGTTTTAAAATAACACTGCGATTATTACAAATTATAATATCCTCATTTAGACTAAAAATGCTCTTAAGTGTTTCCTCCATTACACATTGGACGGAACAGATAGACAGAAGCAGAGGCCAGTCCCCCAACACCCTCCTTAGACACTTGCTTGTGCTTACCTTGGGTTGGATGGCCTCTTTCTGGCTCACCAGCTGAGACCTCAAGATGAGGACCTCCTCCTTGCGCACATCGAGCTCCTCACTCACAGAGGTCAGCTGCTCCATGAGAACACGGTATGCTGGTGCCCCCGGAGCGGTCACCTCTGGGGCGCTTTTCTCACTAAGGGCTTTGCGTAACTCATTTAGCTCATTTTTCAGTTTTTTGTTTTCTGATTCTAGTTCTTGTCGCTGTGTAAATAGACAAAGAATAGTTCATTGCTGTCATCCTCAACTTTACATTGGAATATTCACCTTCCCCGAAGATGGTAGAAGAATTCTGCTTGAAAAGACTGTCAGAGCTACCCTAATGAATGGCTTCCCAGGTTCTACTGGGAACTCTACTCTGTAAATTCAGGAAGTCTGACATCAAGTAGAATTGAGCAAGGTGAATGGTAGTTTGCTTCATCAACCTAAATTCCCGAGTCGAATTTATTCCAGGCCTGCCCAGGGTGTGTACCTAGGCCTGGCGACAGCTGAGTTCCAAGGGGCGAGTTTAGCCCAGGTCTAGAAAGCCCAGTTTTGTTTGTGGGAAAATAAATGCAAGGGTAACTATGAGGGCCCAGCTAGTCAGGTTATTTCCAATGAATAGTTCAAATGAGTGGCTCCCTGAAAGAAGAGGAACATCTTTTCATTTCCTTCATAAAACAGAATGAAAAGACCACTGAAATCTTAGGCTTTTAACTTCAAGTAAAAAAAAATTACAACATCAACTAAACTAATCAAATTCTTAGTATTTTGATGAAAACAAATAATTTTTAAAAAAATATGGAAAGTTCCATGAGTTTGCATGTCATCCTTGCACAGGGGCCATGCTAGTCTCTGTACTGTTCCAATTTTAGTATGTGTGCTGCCGAAGCAAACACAGATATCTCTTTTTCACACTTCTTTCCTGTGTGACATGCTTGTAAAGTTGCTGGCAGAGTTCTGAGAGGTGGGAGGAAGGATGGGCCACCTCCTCCTTCACCATCCAGATGGACGCACACATCCTTTACACTCACACATACCACCAGCTATCCGAATGCTGCAAGGTGCTGCCCTCTGCACACCCTGCTCAGGCAATGGCAGTGAGAGCCCAGAATAGAGTTCTCACATTAAACTATATTTACAGGCACTAGAATGCACATGTCACAGAATACCAGTTGAGAAACAGTAAGGTAGACAGTCATTGAAAAGCACCATGTTTACACCTGAAACTAATACAAAATAATATTGAATGTGAAATGTAATTGAAAAACTGTTTAAATAAATAAATAAAAGCACCATGATGACTTATGTAGCACATAAGACCTTGTGATAGTGGACATGAAGTACTTCTGTATAAAGATAAAATATTTTATTGCTTTTTTTTCCAGAAACAATCTTGTGCTTGTAGCACCATATCAGACTTTTCAGCATGTTTTAGTAAAACTATTTAGCCTTTTTTTCCTAGTTAAAAATAAGTAACCTCTTCTTTCATGAATTAGTTCATCCTTATGTGAAAAAAAAAATGTTCCTTCCTATCCCGTCTCCCACAACTGGTATTTAGATGTGCATTTCTCATTTCTGCAACAGAGAGCATGGCTGTCTTTACTCTGACAGCCATGTCTACGCTCTGATGCACTGTTTCCTAAGCTTCCCCGCGCCATCAAGACCGCTGGGAGGACAGGTGCAGGGCCCACCCACAGAGTTTCCAATTCCATAGGTCTGGGGTGAGGCCCACAAATTAGCATTTCCAAGTCACAGGCTGATGTTGATGCTCCTGTTCCAGGAACGACATTCTGAGAAACACTCAAGCTAATACTTGGGAACTCTGTGATTCAGGCTTCTTCATATACAGAGGATGTCTTCATTTGTTCATTTTGTGTGAGGGAGGCAGAGCGAGCAGAGCTAGAGATCAGATTCCTAACCCCATTCCTCTGACCTGTCCCGTCCCATCCCATCAGGTTCTGGTCTTCTGGACGGAAGGCAATGGAAGTAGGAATAACAGAGGTGCCCACTGCTGCCACCCATTTCTCCTTCCACAAATATAAATACTACTCAAGTAGTGCTTTTACTGCAAGAGCAAGAGATCCATTCCTATTGTAATTAGAAAGGGTAAAAGGGTCTTTTAGGGTTTTTTAAAAGTAAATACTATATATATTTAAAATTAGTTTTCAAACAAGTAATGATAGGAACTTAAGATGTTTAGAAAGTTTCCTTAGCCTGGCCAGCATGGCTTAGTGGTTGAGCGTCACCAGGAGGTCACGGTTTGATTCCCGGTCAGGGTACACGCACTGGTTGTGGGCTCAATTCCCAGTGGGGGGTGTGCAGGAGGCAGCCAATCCATGATTCTCTCTCATCATTGATGTTTCTATCTCTCTCCCCCTCTCCCTTCCTCTCTGAAATCAATAAAAATACATATTTTTTAAACACACAGACACACACACACACACACACACACACACGGAAGTTTCCTTAGTCTGGAGACCTGGATTCAAGATCAGACTCTACCACCTATGAGTATATCTCTTAACTTCTAACTAAGCCTCAGAGTACAAATATTTAAAAATAAAAAACTTATGTCAGAAGTTGTGACAATGACTAAATAAGATAAGGTGTAGGAAAAACTAAAAATACAGGTATTATTAGTCAAGCATTTTTTAAATATTAGTTTAAAAATTCTATCTTTTCAAGAAAAAGGAATAAAACATTAATGCCATATGAGGTTAACTAGGTATCAACTAAATTATATTAGCAGTTTATTAAAAATGTTATGGAGTTTTTACTTTTGAAAATTAAAAATAAAATTTATTTTCATAATTTAAAAAAAAAATTCTATCTTCTGGGGAAAGAGCTGATAAGAGTGTGGGTTTGGGCACAGGAAAGAGCTGATAAGAGTGTGGGTTTGGGACAGGCATTCTCTGCACCAACATGCCATGCAGGCTGGAGAGGAAGCAGTAATTGTAGTTCTGGACAGTGGGAAGTGGAAAATCCACAGAAGACAAGGGCCTATTAATGAGCATAATTTAAGTTCCAAATCGCAGTATTAGGGAAAAATATATAAGGACTAGACTTGAAGTAATATTACTGATAAAGTAAAAATATTCAGGATAGTTTAGAGAGACCCTAGGAAATCTCAAATATACATAAAGCCTTTAAAATAATGAGTTTCCTTATGCTATTTTGTGGTTTTTCTCACTTTTAGTTTTGTTTTAATCATAAACCTTACTATAATTTTCCACCCTAGACTATAATTTAAAAAAGCAGAAAATAGTAAAAATTTGACATAGGCAGAAAATATCTGAGAAAAATAAATTTAAGACGAAAATATTAATTAACAATCTAGAAAACTTCTGAAGCTGGGGTGTTTTGAGAGCTGTCAGCTTGATAGCTCAGACACTGCAGGGCTCAAAAAGTTCTCATTCTGGAAACCAGAGGGGCTGGGGCTGGGAGCAGGTGTAGGGGTGTGTGTGTGTATGTATGTGTGTGTCGGGAGGCTGAGGGGGGGTGAAAGGGGGAGACAGCCTGCTCTCTATCAAGGAATGGATTCTTCTCCACCCACCCCTAAATTTCAACTCCTGTGTTACCAAGGTGCTTTGTATGCCAGGAACTACTCCTCCCAATCCAGTGCCAGTCGCCTTGTCTGAGTGCTCTGGGACACACAGTGGCAGCTTATTACTGTCCAGTTAGACATTGCCTTTAAACATTAAGAAGATACAATTTTCGCCGAAACCGGTTTGGCTCAGTGGATGGAGCATCGGCCTGCGGACTGAAGAGTCCCAGGTTCAATTCCGGTCAAGGGCATGTACCTGGTTGTGGGCACATCCCCAGTGGGAGGTGTGCAGGAGGCAGCTGGTCAATGTTTCTCTCTCATCGATGTTTCCAACCCTCTATCTCTCTCCCTTCCTCTCTGTAACAAATCAATAAAATATATTAAAAAAAAAAGAAGATACAATTTTCACCTTTACTCCCTTCCTCCCAACTGTTGTTGTTGTTTTTTAAAAAATAAGTTAGAGTATGTTTCTACTCTACAAACTAATGCCTAGCAGTCTTTTTCTACAAACACATAGTTTCAGTGGGGTTTGGGTGTTTGAAGCCAGAGATACCAATGTTCAAATCCTGTTTCTTGTAAGTTTCCAGTGGGGTGAGCTTAGGGGAGTTATTTATATCTCTTAGCTTCGATTTTCTTATCTATAAAATGGGAACTAAAATATTGACTTCCAGGACTGTTGTAAGAATTAGAGCTGATACATAAAATACCTGTATTTTAAAAATGATGATAATGATAATAGCCAACATTTGTTGGATACTATTAAAAACAGCACTGAGCACTAGTCTAACCAATTTACATGGATTAGTTCATATAATCCTCATAAGAGTCCTATAAGATAAATATTACCAATATCCTCATATTATAGAAAACAGAGGCACAGGAAGGATACATGACTTGCACACAGCCATATAGTGGTGGATTTAGCATCTGAACCCAGGCAGATGCTAGAGTCCATGTCCTTTACTACCTTCTACAGCCTCAAATTTTAGCTATTGGTCCTGTTTCTATTTAGACTGAACTCCATTTTGTACAGAATAGAACCTATAAAAGGAAGCAATACAAGGCTAGAAGTAATGCCTGCATAAAACTTAAGCTAGGGCCTCAGGTGCCCTGAAACATATTCTCTGAGAAAAAGAGAGGCTCTCAGCAGATCTGTATTTCAGGTCTTGGGCAGAAATATTCCATTACCTTGAGTGACTCATATTCCAGCTCTGCACCTCTAATTTGTGGCCGTTCTTCTTCCTAAGGAAAAGATAAATTAGAAATTTTATAAACAAGTAGTTACATTTTAATTGTTACATTTTTTACTCTTAGAATATTTCCTTGCTCTGCAGAAAACAGTGAGGAGAGGTCAGCCCTCACTACTTGAACCAAATCCTACTTGGTTAAACTACTTCTAGGCTGGGCTTCCATTAAGAAGAAACTGCAGAACTGGACATAAAGTCCCAGCCTCAGTGCTGGGTTTGCCCGCGGCCCTGGGGTGGGCAGCATTGCGCACCTTTGCCTTGCTGCGGAGCACCTGCTCCTCCTTGCGGTCCAGCTCATCCTGCATCACCTGCTTCTCCTGCTCCAGCTCTGTGACCCGCTTCTGGAGCTTGAGGAACAGTGACATGTCCAGTGGTACCTTCTTCTCACTTGGCTCCTAATCCCCAGAAAAAATAAGACGGTCAAGACAATCCAGAAGATGTATAAGTCAATGAGAAAATGATGCACATCCCAACAGAAAAAAAATAGGCAAACTTACAAAAAAATATAAAGGACCAAAGAGTATACATGTAGTAGGTCAATCTAGCTAATAGGAGAAAGGCAAATTAAACAACAGTGAGGTATTATTTTTCCCCTATTAGATTGGCAAAGACTGGAAAGATTTATAATGCCATGTTTTAGTAACAGGGTCTTACATGATGTTGGTGGAAGTAAAAATAGGCCTTTTAAAAGAGCAAGTTAGTTATATCTATTAAAATTTAAACATGTGATACCCTTTAAGCTAGCAATCTATGTTTAAGAATTAATCCCATAGATACACTACTTACACAAGTACACAAAAATATATGGAAAAAGATGTTCATTGCAGCATTATTTTTGTAATTGCAAAAAACTGCAAAGAACCCAAATGTTAGTTAATGGGAGTATTTTTAAATAAATTATGGTAGAGCCGAATTATGACATACTTTATAGCTGTTAAAAAGAATGAAATAGAGGAGAAACCAAGATGGTGGCATAGGTTAAACACCTGAAATTGCTGCCTTGCACAACCACTTCAAAACTACAGCTAAAAGACAAAATGGACATCATCCAGAACCACAGGAAGGCTGGCTGAGTGGAAATTCTACAACACACTCCCTCTCTCTTTCTCTCTCTCCCCCTCTCTCTAAAATTAATATAAATAAATGAATAAATAAAATAAAATAAAATAAAACAAAACAAAGTGTACCTCTGTCCTCAATGGAATGTCTTCAGTTTCTGCAATTTCGGTGCTAAAGGTGTATTCAGACTCATTGCTGCTGTGGGTGGAGTCTGTTCTCTTGTGTCCAGGCTTAGGTACATTCTGCAAGGCAAACAGGATATAATCCACACAACAAAATTAAACCTGGTATAGTTAAGACAGCATCCATCTTAACCTGGTTTTAATCTCTACTCACTGACTTGCTATTCTCATGACCAAATGATCCATTCCATGTTGTCTTGACCAAACTCTCACAAAAGGGTCACCTTGTGAGCTCCTCAAAGAAAGAGACATGCACCAGCAGGCATGACAAGAACAGTGGAAAAACCAAATGCTTGAATGAGAGTCACCTGTGGCTATTACAGAGTCTCCTCTGGGTTTTTAATTGTGAGTGGCCAGCCACACTGGTGGAGCATAAGTAGGATGCTTCAGCATCCACATACTGACTTCAATGTCACAATCAAGTAAACCTGACCAAAAAGTTTATAAGGTGTATTTAATGACAGCATAGCCATTTTATTGTGCTGTGTTTGGGCATAGTTAATAAAAAAGAGGGGGTTTCCACAAAGTGACTGTAATTTCTGTCACTTTTTATGCATGAAGGTGACTCTCTGGAGTCAGCAGTGGGAAGAAAGAGCAAGAGAGTCAAGAAAACTTTTCTAAGAAAGCTCTTAAGATCCTTGGGTTATTCATTCAGGGAGTCCAGGTGACACTTTATGGCACATGGTACTTATGAAACTGTGTTCAGAAAGTTTGTGGGGAGCAGAAAAGTTAAGCAATTACAGTCCCTTCCTTTCTGTAGAAGGGGCTGGAGAATGACTTGAAGCAATAAGGAAAAAAAAAAAAAGGCTGGGTTTGTGCCCCTCAGTCCTCAGGTGCCCCCAGCAGAAGAGGTGGAGAAATTTGGTGGCCTAGATCTCACAGGGTTACCGATCCTGGGAGCTTCAGAAGGGCCTCAGAGGGCTTTCTGACCTGTCCAATTTCCTTTATTACTCCCCCAACTGCAGGACAGGAGCCAGAAGCCACAGGCGGTTCTTTGCCTCTTTCCTTCTGCCATCCAGACTTTCAGGGAGCAGATCCATTAGTGCAACCAAAGTGAAGCCAGCATATGGGGCAGCTGAGTCTCCCAGGCCAGCCCAACATGCATGCCAGTGCATAGGGAAGACTCCAGAACACAGGAACCTCTGACCTATCTAGTAGTTGGGCACACACCACAGGAGAACTACCACAAATAAAGCCAAACATGCTCAGGTTACTCTGCTTACACACACAGGCACTCTGGCTTAAAGTTTCTAGCCTAAGACAACAGTTGGATAAGATGGTGTTTATTTAATAAACTAGAGGCCTGGTGCACAAAATTCATGCACTGCGGGGAGGGGGGGCTTCAGCCCAGCCTATGCCCCCTTGCAGTCCGGGACCCCTCAGGGGATGTCCACCTGCCAGCTTATGCCCGGTCCCCCCAGGGATCAGGCCTAAGCCGGCAGTCAGACATCCCTCTTGCAGTCCAGGGCTCTTGCAGTCTGGGACCCCTCACTCCTTACCGCCGGCTTGCAGTGGAGCCGTGAGCCCGGCTTCTGGCTGAGCGGCACTCCCCTTGTGGGAGCACACTGACCACCAGGGGGCAGCTCTTGCATTGAGCTTCTGCTCCCTGGTGGTCAGTGTGCATAAGTGACTGGTCGTTCTGCCAGTTGTTCCGCTGTTTGGTCAATTTGCATATTAGGGTTTTATTATATAGGATGGTGTGTTCTTAAGGAAAACAGGTCCATGAACACTAGGACAACAATTTTTAATAAGTTTATTAAAGATGTGACACCCCTATTTTCCCACATGTATGTATTTTTAAAAAAGAAATATCTTCAGGTATGAATAGAAGCAATACTATATAGAATTGCTATTTACTGTAACTTTTGCATGCATGGCAATGGTTAAGTGCGCTGGGTTGAAAACATGGGAGAATCCCAGTTCTGCCACTTGCCTGTCCCTTACCCAACTTCTCCAGGCCTCATTTTTTAAAAATATATTTTATTGATTTTTTTTTTACAGGAGGAAGGGAGAGGGATAGAGAGCCAGAAACATCAATGAGAGAGAAACATCAACTAGCTGCCTCCTGCACACCCCCCACTAGGGATGTGCCCACAACCAAGGTACATGCCCTTGACTGGAATCGAACCCGGGACCCTTCAGTCCGCAGGCTGATGCTCTATCCACTGAGCCAAACCAGTTAGGTCTAGGCCTCATTTTCATCTTCCAGAAAAAGGGGATAATATTATCTACCTCATAGGGTTTATGTGAGGATTACATAAGAGAGTGCAAGTAAAGAATTTAGCATAGTACCTGGGACATAACAAGCATTCAATGAATGGTAACTGATGCTGCTGTGATTGTTAGGACCCTGCAATAATTCAACTCCCTTGGTGGCCCTTCCATTTTCATTCAACATGCTATGCCATTACAAGGATGAACATCTGACTTGATCAGCATGTTCTCCTTCAAGATCTGTGTGCAGCACCTCCTCTTCTCCTTATCTGTCATTTCTTCCATAATTCTTTCTTCTCTTGAATCTTGTTTTACTCCCTTTGTCAAAATTATGACTCTATTGTTGACATGCTGGATTCCCTCCTTACTTGGAATTAATTATCTTCAAACACTTCTAAAGCCTGGATTCGCTGGCCTCATTATCCTTTTATTGTTCGCTTAAAACTCCGTAGCCCAGCGGTTCTCAACCTGTGGGTCGTGACCCCTTTGGGGGTCGAACGACCCTTTCACAGGGGTCGCCTAAGACCATCGGAAAACACATATATAATTACATATTGTTTTTGTGATTAATCACTATGCTTTAATTATGTTCAATTTGTAACAATGAAATTGGGGCCACCACAACATGAAGAACTGTATTAAAGGGTCGCAGCATTAGGAAGGTTGAGAACCACCTGTAGCCCTTACTTGCTTCTGCCCTACAATTGAATGTTCCTGGAGAAAAATCCTACAACACTTCTTAGTACCAGGAAAAACAAATCTAGACTCTGGTAACCAGTCACACTATCTTCACATAAGGGAAGCCCTGAGGCAGTCTATCAATTTTCCTCCCTTAAACTTCCCCACACCCATTTGAGGAGTCTATTTGATACCATTATAATTAGTTAGTTATTAATAATAGGAAAGGAACAAAAGGGAGGCCAGACATTATAGGCATATCATTTGGGCAGCTTCACCAGGAAGCTGCAACTTCACACTCCCCAGGAAACAACCGGCCCATTCCCTGCAGATTACTGAGGGAAGGAACTGGGACAATTGGGGAGATAGGCACATGTGCAATAAAGCTAGGGTGACTAGGGAAGGTACCTGTCAGTCAAACCTAGAAACAGAGAACACCCGCTAGAGTAGGCAGGGCCATTGCAAACCCTAGTAAATTTGGGAATACATAATCCCACAAACAAAGGATTTCACTCTCTTGGCTTGTGGCTCTCTTGCATTTGTCTGTGTTTCCTCCATAGCCATGTGGCCCTGTGGACCCCACATGCAATGGACTGATGGACTGCAGCTGGGAACACAAATTAAGCGACCCTGATGCTAGATTGGATACTGATTCTAGCTCCGCTGAAGCTATACTTCTTCTATGGCAGGGCAAAGGGAAATGGGACCTTGGGAAAGCTAGGGGTTTAATTCCACAGAAATAAAGCTCTCTACAATACCTCATCCTCCTGTGTGGGTCTCAGAAAATTCCTTTTCTTGGGATCACAAGAAGCCCACTCCCAAGAGCAAGGGAAGGGAGCTTGGAGCTCTCCTCACTGATAACATATTTACTACAAAATGCTTCAGTAGCATTGTGGCAGTGGGAGCTCATTTGTAGAACAATGTCAATGAAACATTAGCCAAGAACCCATCTGGTAGTTGCTAAGTTCTAATCATTAAAATAAGATGCTGCTATTAATATGTCAATACTCCTAAATATAAAGTCAAATTTTTTTATTCTCACCAAACATTTCCTGAAAAGGCTGCAATCTTGATTGTATCTGGAACTAGGAAACCAAACTACCCCTGAGGCTCCTTCCTCTGACCATTCTGTTACCCAAGAGGAATGACAATGAGTCACAGGCGTCCAATGGAGAGGGAAATAGGCTGAGAAATCAGAAAACAAGCAGCTAAACTACTCCAGGAACTTGGTTACATCTTTGTTTTTCCACAGCACAGCTGGGAACAAAATCAACAGCAGGCAGACTTGCTCAGCAGGAAGGACTAGCCCTGTAAACTGCTGATGGAAATCACTGGAGGGTCTTCTCTAGAGGTGGCTGCCCCTCTGACTAAGGAGACCCATTGACCACACAGGACTCTAGAGAAAGCTGGGAATGAGAGAATGTGAACAAAGAAAGGTTTCTCCAGGGCCAAGTGTAGCAGAGAGAGCAAAGAGGATAGGACTTAATGAGGGTCCTTCCAATCTATCCATTGCAAGGATAACGGTGACCTAGTCCTACTTCTAATTGCTCTTTGTCACATATAAATCACAGAGTAGAATAGTGAGGTTTGAAATAATGGTCCAACTGTGGGATTTGTTTAGCTTTTTAACCTCTTTGAGACTAGGCTTTCTCATTTCAAGGTGGTAAATGTATTTAATTTCTTTTCTTACATAATCTCTTTTATTTTGACTTTTTAAACATCACATTTTAAAGAACTTTGTCAAAGGATCCAGATTGAGGCAAAATTTGAAGCAAGTACTGAACCCCACAGATATAACATTATTTATTTGTTTAAAAGATATTTCAAAGCATTTCTGGCCATTTGTACATGAAGTTACCTTAAAGGCTGACACTTTAGGGAACAAGAGAGCTATGGATTTCTTTGTTTCCTGATAGTAAGTAAATAGGGAGAACTCTTAAAAGGTACACTGGCAAATGCAGAAGAGTCCTTGAAATAGATCATTTATTACAAATAGAGGCTGAATCTTCCTTTTGTAGGAATATATCTCTGAAATTATAATAAAAACCAGTAGAGGAAAATAAGCATATAAATATTTCCTTTATATGCAAATTTTACATTAAGTCATTCAATACAGGAAACAAAGTCCAGCTACACTGACTTTAACTATCTTATAGTCCAGTCTTTAAAGTGTTTGACTTTATAAATTATTTATAAATAAAGTTATATGATTTCTGAGATTTGCTTTAAAATAATCCAACCCATTGGATGGGGTGAGATGGAGGGGTAGAAAAGTGTTTTCCATTTTGGAACTGGGTGATGAGTACAAGGAATACATGGGAGTTCTTTCTCCTATTCTATCTACTGTTGTATATGTTTAAAATTTTTCATTTAAAAAAAAGCAAAAGTAGATGACCTACCAACATCAGAGTCATCTCTTCCTTGAGGTCATCATATCGTTCTTCTAAGCGACTGAACTCATTCAGAAGGTTCTGATATCTCAGCCTTTCATCATTAAGATCGAGTTCCAGTTGTTTCGTTTCTTCTACCAACTTCTTCTCCATAGTCTCTGAAGAAAAGAGGAAAAAGCATATCGAAGACAGCTCCACAGAATACAACAGTACAAGCATGGACCCTGACTTCCAGTTTCTCCACAGGGGTTTTACTTTCAGCACCACTACGATCTGTGAAGAATATCTTCACAGTCAATGTATGGAAATAGAAGGCCTGGCCAGGTAGCTCAGTTGGTTAGAGCATCGTCCCGTTAGCCAAGGTTGCAGGTTTGACCTCTGTCAGGGCACACACAAAAATCAACCGATGAATGCATCAATAAGTGGAACAGCAAATCAATGTTTCTCTCTCTTTCCCCATTCTCTCTAAAATAAAATAAAAAACAACAAGAAAAAAATATCATGACCCAAAACTGAAATAACTCATTGATAACAGTAATTATCATCTGTGGAATTCTTCCATGAACTACAGACTTAGTGCGTCTAGTTCACTGGTCATAGCAATGCTTGAAGAACTTCCACTAGTCACTGTCTAGTAACAAAAGGATACATGTTTTATTCCAATAGTATTCTGTTTCAGGTTATATTAGTGCACTCTGTCAAAAAGTCAGATATGCCCCAGTCTCTGAGGGAATGGCGGCTTCCCAGTGGACCTGGCTGTCCTACTCTACAGTCTCTCCACTCGTCTGTAGCCAGGTTCTCTTTATCAATTTTCCAGCCCTCTGAACGCCCCGCTGTCCTATTACGTTCCCATTTCTAATCAGGTACGCTCCGCTCCCCATGCCTGTCAACTGTGTTACTTCTCCTGTGTGCTGCTGGGGGAACCCACTCCACTCTGACCCTCTCTGTTGCTAGTGGCTTGCATTTGGCTAGAACAGCAACTGGAGATTGGAGATTAGCCCCTGACTGCAGATAAAGCAAAATAAAAAAGCCTCAAATCTCAGCTATATATTTTAACTTGATGAGCCAACCAGTCACATTTATAAATATTAAATTTGCTCCCATTCTGGTCCACTTTACCCTCATATTTTGTGGCTAAACCTTAATCTGCCCTGCCCACTTTTATTGCTTCACCATTTCTTTCTCTGTCAGCTCCAAGAGGGCAAGGGCTGCCAAGTATGTTGTCTCAACTGCTTCCCTGGTGCCATCACAGTGTTTCCCTACCTAAGGCTTTAATAATTTATAAATGAATGAGTGGAAGAATTTCTTCTCTATATAACATTCTATAAATTGCCTTTTATTCCTACCAGTTTGCAGAAGCTGCCCAAAGCTACCAACAAATTGTCCCTGGGCAAATCTATTTTCCTAGCAGCTTTATTTCCATGTCTTCAGTGTCTGTTTTGTTTTCCCCTTCTCTTCTGAATATTTTTTTTCTCCCCCCACCCTCCCTTATCCCTTACCTATGGTTATCCTATAAGGCTTAATTCCAGGTTTTCTTCTCTTTCCTTTACATTATTCCCTTGGGAGGAAGGAGGCAGTGTGGGGGAAAGTACAGAGGGTCCTCTTATCATCACAACTTCGATGGGTACTTAAGGCTCATTTCTTTTTGCTCTAATCTTTCATCTTAATTTGGTTTCAGAACATCTCTATCTGGAGGCCCTAGCTGACAACCAAAATTTAACACTCTAACAACTGATCTCAATTTTCCTCATAAACAGGTACTTACTTTTCTTATTCAAACTCCTCATTACTAATAAAACACCATTATTGTTTTGAAATCCCATACTAAAACGTTAGAATATTTTTTTTAAATATATTTTATTGATTTTTTACAGAGAGGAAGTGAGAGATATAGAAAGTTAGAAACATCGATGAGAGAGAAACATCGATCAGCTGCCTCCTGCACATCTCCCACTGGGGATGTGCCTGCAACCCAGGTACATGCCCTTGACCTGAATCGAACCTGGGACCTTTCAGTCCACAAGCCGACGCTCTATCCACTGAGCCAAACCGGTTTCGGCGACATTAGAATATTTTTATTCTTTTTTTGAATACCACATCAAAAGCATTGTGTTGATTCTTTTCATATTATATATCCTCATTCCAATCCATCTCTTCCTTTCCATTTCCACCACCAACTACTGCAGTTTAGATCTGTACCTTCTTATACCATGTTTATGAACACAGGGATTTCTTATAAATTATCGTCATTCTAATCTTTCTCACAAAGAGCAAATAGAATAAATATTTACATTCATTTAGTCCTCTATTCAAAATATCCGTGGGCTTTACTGTTAGTTTGTTTGGTAGCAGAGTGGTGGATCTTGGGAGAATAATACCCATTAGCTTAGCAAGAAGTAAGCAAATAAAAATAATACACACAGACACATATACACATATACATATTAGCTCAATGATTCTTCCTAAATCAACAGGATTCCTTTAAGCCATAACTGATAAATCATACACGAAGAACAATTAGTATTTTTAACTACATATGGTATTGACTAAACATGAGTTCACATTTGTACATAGAGAGACCAGATTTAAGTTCACCAACTGTTTCAACCAAAATATTTAGAGCGCCTGCCTCTCAGAATTTTATAAATTTACTAATGGCAGCCTCAGCTTTTAAAAATATTTGAGCTCTAAGCCAAGTTGTATCTTATACCCTGGCCGGAAGGTTGCTGGTTCAATTCCTGTTTTGTGGGTTTGATCCCCGTTTGGGGACTATATGGAAGGCAACTGATCAATGATTGATCCTTCCTTCCTTCCCTCCCTCCTTCCCTCCCTCCCTCCCTCCCTCCCTTCTTTCTTTCCTTCTTAACCTGGCTACTAGGAAAGGTAAAATGACACATGTGGCATCATTTCTATTGGCTAGTGCTATCCAGGCCCTAACCTCCTTCCCTCCTTCCCTCTTTTGAGGAGGATTAAAAAAAAATGGCATCTTATAAAACTTTGGGAGGTTGGTTAGCATGCATTAATTTGAACCCACGTGAGCCTTACCTGTCATCTCCTTAGCCTGTTCCACGATAAGGTGATTGAGGGCCTCTTTTTCCTGCTTCAGCAACGTATTTTCTTCCTTCAGAGTTGATACCACCTATAAAATGAAATAAAATGAGGCAGCTGCAATGGACAGAGCAAACCAAGCCCTAAGTATAAAGCCCACACTGCAGTCACTCACTCCTTCCACATCTCTGTGCCTCATTTCTTTGCACAGTTATGGCTAGTCGTCTTTCAAATTTGGTTCAAGCAATACCTCCTCCAGAAAGCCTTCCTCTGGAGCCTCCAGAAACTCTCTCCAAATAAGTGTTTCTTTTCTGGGCTACTATAGGACCCTGCATATGCCTCTTTATAGTCCTTATAAATGATTTACTTTTACTTCCCTAATAGACTAGAAATTCCTGGAGGACAAAGATGATTACTGCTGTTGTTTTACTTTGTACCTTGAGCATTTAGCAATTGCCTGGCACCTCGTAAGCATTTGCTCTTAAAGCAACTATAATGCCTTTTCACCTCAACAGCCAAGCACAAAGCTACGCACTTACCCATGATTCAGGTAGAAAATTGAAGAGGTTAAGAAAGACTTGAAGTCAAGGAACTGGAGAGCATTATTCTAAGTGAAATAAGCCAGTCAGAGAAAGATAAATATCACATGATCTCACTCATTTATGGAATATAATGAGCAACATGAACTGATGAACAAAAACAGATCCAGAGACAGAGAAGCATCGATCAGACCGTCAAACCTCAGAGGGAAGGTAGGGAAGGGTGGGGGTAAGGGGAAGAGAGATCAACCAAAGGACTTATATGCAACCAGAAAGGCCTAACCAATGGACACGGACAACAGGGGGGTGAGGGCATGAGTTGGGGGGATGGGGGGTAATATGGGGATAAGGACACATATGTAATAACTTAATCAATAAAAACATTTTTAAAAAAAGACAGTTGCAGGGCATTTTGGTTCTGGAAACTCACTGAAGATTTCCTGACACGTCCTGCTGTTGGTCTTGAAAAAGAGAATTTCCTTTCATCCCCTTTTAAGAGTTTTGCAAAGTTGTAAACTAGTCCTTTTACCCCATGTTTAAGCACTAACCTTACTACAGTGAATGCACTTAATGCCACTGAACTGTATACTTAACAGTGGTTAATATGGTAAATTTTATGCTATGTATATTTTAATAATTAAAAAAACACACAATTGCCGAAACCGGTTTGGCTCAGTGGATGGAGCGTTGGCCTGCGGACTGAAGGGTCCCAGGTTCGATTCCGGTCAAGGGCATGTACCTGGGTTGTCACACAATTAACTTAACTTTCTAGTTCCTAGTTGGATAAGGATTCCCAGGAAGCAAAAGTCAAAAGCAAAGACAACTTTGCAAAGTTCATAATTTACTCAGTTCATCTCTGCAATAAAATAATGTACTTGTGATGAGTGAAATCTAAATTTCTTCTCTAAGCATAAGTTCAAGGAACTCTAAAAGTGATAGCTAATAATAAAGATAAGTGTCGGGAGTTCAGATAGAGAGTGAGGGCTCTGTGACAGGATCCCTGGAGAACAGGAAGTAAACAGCAGCACTGGCATAGCGGAAGTCCCCAGGTGTTCCTTCGGAGGGTCCAGTCTCCTCTCTCCATACTGGCCTGGCCTTACCTCCACCTCAACAGGAAGACCCGAGTTCCCTATGCTCTTGAGAGAAACTGTTCTTTATCAGGGGTATGCTTTTTCAAAATACATGCGCCTCATCCACATTCCCAGCGCTTGGGCAGGTATCTTTAAAAAGAACTCCCTAGGAGATTCTGATATACACTCCTGGTTAAGAAGCACAGGTCTAGTGTACCTTCTAGGCTCCTTGAAGGCACATAGCTTTCCTGATCATAAAGCTGGCTGTCACAGTGAAGTTTTTTCATTCCACATTGCTACACTCTATCCAAAAGAATAAGCAATAATGCCTATAGCTAGCCTGTGAAAAGCAGATAAAAAAAGAAAGGAGAAATCTGTATCTGTTCATGTGTGCTATTCTATCAGACTAGAAAGGTATGAACTTGACTTTAAAGAGGAATTTTCCTACAAGCTTAAATACTCTAGATTCAGAGGAATCTGGAAAGCTTCTGTGGACTCAGAAAATGGCAACAAGAAAAAAAGAGAATTGCTTTGAATGCATTTTTAAATTCTGACAGAACAAACTTGCCATGTCAAATAACACATATTAATGGCATTGCTGTTTCCATAATACAGAGCCCAGATCTGCTAGAGAAATAGGAGGAACTGTTTTGTTGGGACCCTGATACCATGGAAGGACTGCAGTTGTATTAGGTGCCCTCTCCTAGGCTCCTTCGGAGACGCTCACTGAGCTCAGAGGACTAATATCAGCGCAGAAGCAGAGCACCAGGATTCTTGCTCATAGTTACAACCAACACAGTGAACTCTGTTTTCACTCACAGGTGGTCACATTAGTGGACTCTCTGAAAACTACTTGGTTCCCCAGTAAGCCTTATGTTGAGGCATTTTTATTTTGTTTAAGCAGTGCATCTCATTGCTGCTTGAGAACCTTAATGTTTTCTGTCTTTAGTCAAGTTTTAACATAAGTAAATACAAATTTGTAGTGTGGAAACACTGGTCAATCTGTAAAAAAAAATTTTTTTTTTTTTTGGTTTTGTTCTATCTGCATAGCAGCTCTTGGCTAGTCAGTGTGCAGACATGTGGATTTCTCCCTTGGACTTCTCAACATAGTCTTAATTCATTTTCATAAAGCTCCCTAGCATCAGCTATTGAGAGTTCATGATTTACTTTTTAATCACGTTAACCCAAGAAAAAGGAGTCTACTCTCCATCCAGACCTATGCATGTAAAGAAAAAGAGTATATATATATATAGTAGGGACATGGCTATTAATTTTCTTCTTACAATACTGCTTTCCTCTGTTCTCATCATAGTCAAAAGTTTCTACTAAAACAGCTACTGACTCATCATGTGGAAGAAATGCTTGGGAAACACAAATAATAAAATTTATATTTCAGCTCTGAAACCAACATTGAGCCACAAGGGCCAGGTCAAGATGATGGCACGTTTCCTTTGTAAAAAGGATGTGAAACTAGTTCCTTCTCACCTGCTCGGTCTCTTGCTTGTATCTATCTGCACGTTCCTCGATGGATTTCTTCTCTGACCGAGTTTGTTCCAGGTCTTTCCGGAGCTTGGCAACTTCTTCCTGTAGACTGAGAACCCGCCCAGTGGCAATCCTAGCCTCCTCCTCGCTTAGCTGAAGGCGTTCTAAGTCACTTCGTAGTTTCTCAGTCTCAGAGTTGTATATTCCTTCCAGATTGGTCAATTTCTCCATGAGGCATTTGTAGTCTTTGTTCTTTAAACACACACAAACAGTAAGTAAATAGACATGCCATCAAATGTATTTACTCAGAAAACTAGGCATATTCATCACAGTCTTGCTATATCATCATAATCTTACAGTATCTAACCAAGATTCTAAGCACAACATTGATAGTAACATAATCAATACTCTCTTAGTGATATAAAGAGAGAAGAGAATAGACAGCATTATTTCTGTTTTACACAATGAACAACATAGATGTGATTTTTTTCTTAGCTGCAAGGCGAGTTACCAGAGAAAATTCTTAATTTCCTGATTCTTAATACAAAAATAGGAAAATCTATACTTGCTTTTGAAAACAAATCATTGTGCTACTAAAAGTCATGTGCTAGCCAGGTGATGCATAAGAATGATAAAATGGCCTCAAAATCACAAATTTCTTACAGATCTCTTTGTTTACTACCTCAAGCTCCTACTCACACTCAGAAAACATTTCTGATGAACCCTATTTCATTGTGGGCTTTTTTGCCCAATGTAGTATTTATGTAGTACTAATTACCTTTATATCATTTGCATGTGCTAAAATATTACTTAGTAACTATCTCTAAGAAACCAAACTTTTATCTCTGCCAAAAGGCTGAAGATTCCTCAGAAGCATGGACATCTTACTGCTTCTTTTGTCACCTCACTGTTAAACAAGTCACCTGTGAAAGGAGCATTATAGTACATGCAAATGACTGGCAGTGACGAAAGAGCTTGGTGAAGTATAAAGTACACTATGGCTCTTAGTCACAAAGGTCTGGAGTGTTAGTAAATCTGGTTGTATTCTCAAAAATAGTTTCCTGCAGTGATACTCTTACCTATGAACTCATCACTATTTCCATACTCATAACTGTCATTATTATTTTACTTTTCTGCTAAGACCAAAGGGTAAAGTCCAGGGGAGACACCGCTGACCACAATCCCAGTGGGCTTCTTTAGGCATGCTCACTTTCAGGGTCCTGTTCAAAACACACCTGTTCATCAACTTTGCGCTGCAGCTGCATGATCTTGTTCTCCATGCCGATGTGGAGTTTCTTATAGCGCTCCACAGAGCGGGCCTCAATCTTGAGCTTCTTCAGCTCGCGCTTGGCTATCATCCGCCGTAAGCAGCACTGAAGGTAGATGATGGCATGCAGGCTCCTCTTGTAGTAGGTGCGAGCCAGCCAGCCTCGGACCCACTTCTGAATGATGACTGCTTTGTGGTCACGGAGTATCTGCAGAGAAAGGTATGTACAACATCAGACTCTAGACTAGACTCAAGGTTCAGTTCTATCAACCTATGACTCAGGCTGAGAAGCCATAAAGCGAAAGACACAAAAGTTGAAGTAACAATGTAATATGAAGACTGTACATATAACAAATATATGCAAGCACAAAATTGTTTTACAAGGTGATTTAAAAAGTAGACTTTAAAGGGTGATTTAAGAAACAGAGAATACACCAAGCATGTCAAACTCATGGCAGGCAGGCCACAGGCCTTGTTTAAATAAATAAGGCTTGCAGACTGGTGGCTGCGCATTTGACATGCTTGGTGTACACACAGAAGCTATCTAAATAAAAGGCACCAGCTTACTAAAAGGCAAACAATTCTAAAAATAAAGAAAAAACACACTAGGTGTCCTATTGGTGCATGATATCTGTCGCAACAGACAATCCTCTATAAAGTGAACAGAACTTGGCACCCTGTGAATTACATGCTATTAAAATAAAAGACTTGGCCACCACCCTTACTGCTGATACCATCTCACTGTGCATTAGATCTATGCTTCTTGAGGACATGGAATATGCCCAGTAAGCTGCCTGTGGAGGCCAACAGTTGGAGTATTGCAAAGTTTATTATTAATTTATTGATTTTTTCCCAGAAACAAACAAAAAATGACACTGTTGGTTGCCCTATTTGAGGAATACTATTCTAGTGAGGATTTCCCATTGCTGTTTCAAATGTAACAGGAACCCACTTATGGGAGTCAAAGGTAGTAGGGATAAAGCTTTAAAAGGAAAGCTAAAAGTAAGATAGAGGGAAATAAACAAATCTTAATTTTGATTTTGTTATACTTTCTAAATAAGAAGATATTCCCCTAAATTTATAAATAACTTATAACAAAAGATCGCCTTATAGAAAGAATTTCTTATCACTAAGACCATCAAGCAGAGATTGTCTAGCCCTGGCTGGTGTTGCTCAGTGGTTAGAGTGTCAGCCCACACACTGAAGGGTTACAGATTTGATTTCCAATCAAGGACATGTACCTGGGTTGCAGGTTCGATCCCCAGCCCTGGCCAGGACATGTGCAGAAGGCAAATAGTCCATTGATGTCTCTCTCTCTCTGCCTTTATCTCTCTCTTTTTCTTTCCCTCCCTCTCTTCCACTCTCTCTTTAAAAAACAAACAAACAAAAAAACAATGGAAAAAATACCCTCTGGTAAGAATTAACAACAACAAAATGCAGAGATTTTCTAAACCAAGTATGTCAAACTTGTGGCCTGCAAGCCGCATGCCTCGTTTATTTGGCCCGTGTTAGCCTTTGAGTTTGACATGCTTGGTCTAAACAATTTCCAGGAATGATGGAAAAGAAAATCTTGAAATTAATAAAGGGTGAACTATTAAAACATTCTAAGGTCCTTCTTTGATTTTATAAAACAACTCTTGTATGATATAAATGATATTTAAATGTATGCACTCAAGTGATTACTTACTAGTAATTATTAGTGATTATTAGCACTTATTAGTAACTAGAGGCCTCAGATGTTCTCCTGTAACATATAGAGATCTGATTTATTAAGGCAACCAAAGCAGTAATTTTTCAGAGTATCATTAGCATATTATGCTTTGATTGGTTGAATGGCGACTAGAAAACCGGACACTTAGCATATTAATTAGGCTTTTATTATATAGGATTTTTACAAATGAACACAATGTATCTCTTAGGAAACTTTCTAAATGTAAACATTTCTGGCCTGGCCTGCGTGGCTCCTTGGTTGAACATCAATCTATGAACCAGGAGGTCAGGTTTCAATTCCTGGTCTGGGCACATGCCCAGGTTGTGGGATCCATCCCCATTGTGGGGCGTGCAGGAGGCAGCTAATCAATGATTCTCATCGTTGATGTTTCTATCTCTCTCTCCTTCTCCCTTCCTCTCTGAAATCAATAAAAATATATTTTTTAAAAGATTCTAAAACCATCTATTCAAATAGATAGCAGTTTAATAAAATCATTAAAACAATAGTTCCTATTTTTGGGTTATGGATCTGAGGAAAACAATGAAAAAAAGTCCATTCTAGAGGATACAGTGAAGAAATAAGTGGTTAAGTATTAAACCCCCAAATACAAAATAAACCTAAGTGCTCAGGAGACCTTTGCCAAGTCAAGGCTCCCCTTCGGCTGCTTATCTATTAATGCTAAGACAGTCTGCTTTCCACTGAGTGCAGTCACTGTGCATCACGCTGCAGTGAGGTCCCATCCTGAGCCCTCCCCGAGCATCATGACCCCAAGGGAGCCTCTTGTCTTATCCTGATGAGTAGTGACCAACTGGATAAGACTCAGTAATGGCAAATTTCAGACTTTCAAAGTCAAGCAGCACACAGTGGCAAAGCTATGAATGTTAATTTTCCTATTCCATTTCCTTCTCTCCATGTAACTTCAGACATTGGTCCATTTCTGTAATTTCAGTCAAGTGGAAACAGTATATAATTAGATCTTTCATTCGCAATTTCATCTCCATTAGTGAGGTAGAGATATTAAACAATGTCTCCTCTCCCTTAGATTCCCAAGCCATAAGAAGGGGAAGCCTGGACTGGAAACACCGAAAACACGGCCCAAAGAAGCACTAGTGGCCTATACGTGAGCTGGCCTCTAACTGCCACTCCCATGTGTCGTCAGTTGGAGCTGAGCAGGCCAGACACTGCTACTGCTCAATCAATGGCCTCAAAACCCAGTTCAGATGATCCTGAGGAGAGTCGTCAAGAAAACTTAAGTGTAACCAGTTTGGTGTATCTAAAAGTTGAATAAGGCGTTTCCTTCCCCTGAAAGCACATGCTTGTAGAGAAAGAACACCAGAGTATAAAGCCAGCACGGGCAGAAAGAAAGAGCTGGAGTAGCTATTCTCAAATTTTCTTCAAAACACAGCCATTAAATATTCTCATTCAAGCCTCATTAGTTTTTCATTTTCTTTGTTGTCTAAAATTACTTCAAAATAAAGTAAAATACATACATGAATAGGGCTTAGGCCACCCTCACAGACTGCCTGTGATTAGAGACCTGTCCCTCAAAGCACTCTATTGATGCTTCTTCTACCAGTGGTGCCCACAGAACTCCGAGATCTACCAGTGGTTCTTAACCTTCCTAATGCCGCGAACCTTTAATATAGTTCCTCATGGTGTGGTGACCCCCAACCATAAAATTATTTTCGTTGCTACTTCATAACTGTAATTTTGCTACTGTTATGAATCGTAATGTAAATATCTGATATGCAGGATGTATTTTCATTGTTCACGACCCACAGGTTGAGAACCGCTGAATTCTAGACTGTACTTCTGGCTTGTTAGGAATATATCATGAAGGACAAACTCAAAACCTTGCCAAAATGAAAGAGAAAAACCTTTCAACTAGATCATGTATTGTCCGAGGTGATGATTAAGATTAATCTGGTGCCCAGCCAGCATGGCTGGCTCAGTGGTTGAGCATCAACCAATGAACCAGGAGGTCACAGTTCGATTCCCGATCAGGGCACATGCCCAGCTTGCGGACTAGATCCCCAGTGTGGGGCGTGCAGGAGGCAGCCGATCAATGATTCTCTCATCATTGATATTTCTATCTCTCCCTTCCTCTCTGAAATCAATAAAAATATTTTTTTAAATTAATCTGGTGACTCATTATTTTTGTCATGTTGATTATTGCCAGATAAAAAGATTATTTGTCAAAAATGCTCAGAACATCATATTCTAGTCAGTACAAGTTTAACCACATTAATGGTTTTTTTTAATATATTTTATTGATTTTTTACAGAGAGGAAGGGAGAGGGATAGAGAGTTAGAACATCGATGAAAGAGAAACATCGATCAGCTGCCTCCTGCACATTCCCCACTGGGGATGTGCCTGCAACCAAGGTACATGCCCCTGACCAGAATCGAACCTGGGACCTTTGAGTCCGAAGGCCGATGCTCTATCCACTGAGCCAAACCGGCTAGGGCCACATTAATGTTATTTATCTCTTTTTCACTACAGTAAATTATTCCAAGGTTTTTCATTCTTGGAACAAATTTCCACACATATGTCATATATTCTACCTCTTCAAAGCTCACCACAGTGAGTTAAATAGAGGCCCCCAAAGATATCAGATCCTAATCTGTGGAATCTGTCAATGGTACCTCATTTGGGAAAGGGGTTTTTGCAGATGTGATTAAGTTAAAAATGTTGAGATGAGGAGATTATACTGGATTATCCTGGTGGGGCCTAAATCCATCACAAATATTCTCATAAGAGACAGACAAAAGAAGGGAAGTTAGACACACAGTAGAGATGTTGACATGAAGATAAAGGCAGAGATTGGCCCTAGCCAGTTAGGCTCAGTGGATAGAGCGTCGGCCTGCGGACCAAAGGGTCCCAGGTTCCATTCTGGTCAAGAGCATGTATATTGGTTGCACGCTCCTCGCCAGTCTGGGCCCTGGTCAACCAATTGATGTGTTCCCCTCATATCAATGTTTTTCTCTTTACCTCT